GGGGGCCCAGATATAGTGACTGTGGGCCCGGGGAGCCCAAATTTAATGAATGCAGGGTCCGGGGAGAACAGATTAGTGAAAAAAGGGGGTCCGGGGAGGCCAGATATAGTAAATGCAGGGTCCGGGGAACCAAAAATTTGAATCCCGGGTGGGGGGAAACCCCAAAATAGTGAATGCAGGCCCCGGGGGAGAGCGGAATAGTGAAGCGGGGTCCGGGGAGACCGGTATGGGAATGCAGGGTGCAGGGGGGCAATAAGGAATGCGGGGCCCGGGGAGACCAATTTTATGAAGGCGGGCCGGGGGAGAGCGAAATAGTGAATGCGGGGCCCGGGGAGACCGGAAATGAATGCGGGGGTGCGGGGGAGAGCAGATAATTGAATGCGGGGTCCGGGGAGAACAGAAAAAAAATGTAGGGCCGGGGAGACCAGATATAGTGAATCAGGGTGGGGGGAGACCAGATAATGAATGCGGGGCCCGGGGGAGACCAGATATAGTAATTAAGGCCGGGAGAGCGGATATAGGAATGGGGGGGTCCGGGGAAACGGTTTAAATAAATGCGGGCCCGGGGGAGAGCAATATAGTGAATGCAGGGTCCGGGGAGAGGGGATATTAATGCGGGGTCCGGGGAAAACCCGGATTAGTGAATGGAGGGTCCGGGGGAGCCCAATATAGTGAATCAGGGTCCTGGAGAGCGGATATATTTAATGCAGGGTCCGGGGAGCCCCAGAATAGTGATGCAGGGTCCGGGGAAAACCAATATGTGAATCGGGCCCGGGGGAGCCCAGATAAGTGAATAAAGGGTCCGGGGGCCAGATATAGTGACGTAGGGAATGCAGGGTCGGGAGAGCGGAAATAGTGAATGCAGGGTCCGGGGACCATATTTAGTGAATGCAGGGTCCGGGGAGACGGATATAGTGAATGCCAGGGTCGGGAGACCGGATATAGTGAATGCCGGGTTCCCGTGAGAGCGGATATAGTGAATGCAGGGTCCGGGGAGACCAGATATAGTGAATTGCAGGGTCCGGGGAGAGCGGATTATAGTGAAATGCAGGGTCCCGGGGAGGACCGGATATGTGAATGCTGGGTCCGGGAGACCAGATATAGTGAATGCAAGGGTCGGGGAGAGCAGTGATATAGTGAATGCAGGGTCCGGGAGAAAGCGGATATAGTGAATGCGGGGTCCCGGGGAGACGGGATATAGTGAATGCAGGGTCCGTGGAGACCAGATATCGTGGAATGCGGGGTACGTGGGAGAGCGGGAATTATAGTGAGGTAATGCAGGGTCCGGGGAGGGGAAGCAGATATAGTGAATGCAGGGTCCGGGGAGACCAGGTATAGTGAATGCAGGGTCCGGGAGAGTGGACTATAATGGAATGATGTCTAGAGTCCAGGAGACCGGCATATCTTGAATGCGACCCGGGGAGCCATCCAAGAATAGGTGAATAATGCTGGTCCGGGGAAAGCCAGATAAAAGAGTTTTTTTTTTTCTTTTTCTTTTATAGGGTCCGGGGAGACCAGATATAGTTACTAACCTGACCAGGGTCGGGGAGCAAATATCACTGAATGCAGGTCCTGGGTAGACCAGGATATAGTGATTGCAGGGCTTTGAGGATGATTCAGATTCATAGTGAATCAGGGTCCGGGGAGACCAGATATAGTGAATTGCAGGGTCCGGGGAGAGCGGATATAGTGAATGCAGGTCCGGGAGAGCGGATATAGTGAATGCAGGGTTCCGGGGAGAGCGGATATAGTGAATGCAGGGTCCGGGAGACCGGATATAGTGAATGCGGGGTCCAGGAGACCGGATATAGTGAATGCAGGGTCTGGGGAGACCAGATATAGTGAATGCAGGGTCCGGGAGAGCGTATATGCAGGGTCCAGGGGGAAAGCGGATATAGTGAATGCAGGGTCCGGGGAGACCAGGTATAGTGAATGCAGGGTCCGGGGAGACCAGATATAGTGAATGCGGGGTACGGGGAGACCAGATATAGTGAATGCAGGGCCCAGGGGGAAAGCGGATATAGTGAATGCAGGGTCCGGGGAGACCAGGTATAGTGAATGCAGGTTCCAGGGTTTAGTAACACTTTAATGGAATGATGTCTAGAGCTCCTGAACAAGGCAGGCATTCTGCAAGCGACAGAGGCCATCCACATTGAGAAGTCCATGGGAAAGCAGATAAAAGAGCATCAAAAATTCACGTTACGACACCTGACACCACCAGCACCTTCACTACATGTCCATTGATCAGCTCGGTTTTCACTTTGAGATGATTCTTTCAGTAGTATCTTAAAGCAATACTATCCTCTCTCCATCAACATGAACTATATTCTATCCTTCTACTACCAGCATTAGTAAATAGACAGTCAGGCATTTTATAGTTACTTGTTTTAACCTTTTTTCTTTACGTTTCTTCAGCTGCTTCCTAGTTTCTGGTCTAGGCCTAAATTATGTCATACATCCCAGTAGTCTTCATGGAAGGAGCAGAGGAGGGGTTTTCTCCGCTAAGCACATCGTCCTGCCTGCACGCCTGAGCTAAGGGCAGATGAATTTCAGAAAATAAACTCTACATGAATCATCTGCCCTTACTCAAGATGGCCACCACTAGAAATACTAGGGAAGGAGTGGAGGGGCTGATTCAGTGATTTGTTAACAAAAAAAAAAATCATGGGAGACACGGATGGGTGAGTTTGATTTTATGCCTTTTTTTTTTTTTTTTTTTTACATTTTTTCAGTTGCTTCCTGGTTTTCGACCTATGCCAAAATGATGTCATACAAGCTGCAAGTTTTCATGGTATTTTGTTTTCTTTCACCTGGAGAAGGGGTTTTCTCAGCTAAGCACACCTTTCCTACTTGCATGCCTGAGCTAAGGGCAGATGGATTCCAGGAAGTAAATGCTACACGAATCATCTGGCCTTACTGAAGATGGCCACCGCTAGAAAAATTAGGGAAGGAGTGAAGGGGCAGATTCAAAGTGATTCCTTAACAAAATAAATAAATAAATCATGGAGATGTAGATGGGCGAGTTAGATTTTTTTTTTGCCTTTTTTTTTTACATTTCTCCAGTTGCTTCCTGGTTTCTGGCCTAGGCCAAAATGATGTCATACATCTCAGCAGTTTTCATGGGCATTTTTTTCCTTTCACCTGGAGGAGGGGTTTTCTCAGCTAAGCACATCCTCCTTGCTGAATGCCTGAGCTAACGGCAGATGGATACCAGGAAGTAAATGCTACATGAATCATCTGCCCTTACTGAAGATGGCCGCTGCTAGAAATACTAGTGAAGGGGGAGATTTAAAGTGATTCCTTAACAAAAAAAAAAACATTTACTGCGCATGAACGAGAAGTGCTTTGCGAATGGTCCAGCAGTCTTCTAGGATTGGTTGTGTCCCAGAAGACGGGGGGGCAGGACGGCTCCGCGGAAGTGGGAGAGGGTACCTGTCAAATTCGGGTACCCACTCCCCCCCTTGCCCCCCCCCTGCTCCCCAAAGGTCTGCAGTGTTTGATCATCTCCTGTACTGTGTCCGCAGTCTCTGGTCATCTCCTGTACTATGTCCGCAGTCTCTGGTCATCTCCTGTACTGTGTCCGCAGTCTCTGGTCATCTCCTGTACTGTGTCCACAGTCTCTGGTCATCTCCTGTACTATATTCGCAGTCTCTGGTCATCTCCTGTACTGTGTCTGCAGTCTCTGGTCATCTCCTGCACTATGTCTGCAGTCTCTGGTCATCTCCTGTACTGTGTCCGCAGTCTCTGGTCATCCCCTGTACTATGTCCGCAGTCACTGGTCATCTCCTGTACTATGTCCGCAGTCTCTGGTCATCTCCTGTACTATGTCCGCAGTCTCTGGTCATCTCCTGTACTGTGTCCGCAGTCTCTGGTCATCTCCTGTACTGTGTATGCAGTCTCTGGTCATCTCCTGTACTGTGTACGCAGTCTCTGGTCATCTCCTGTACTATATCCGCAGTCTCTGGTCATCTCCTGTACTATATCCGCAGTCTCTGGTCATCTCCTGTACTGTGTCCGCAGTCTCTGGTCATCCCCTGTACTGTGTCCGCAGTCTCTGGTCATCTCCTGTACTATGTCCGCAGTCTCTGGTCATCTTCTGTACTATGTCCGCAGTCTCTGGTCATCCCCTGTACTGTGTCCGCAGTCTCTGGTCATCCCCTGTACTATGTCCGCAGTCTCTGGTCATCTCCTGTAGTATGTCTGCAGTCTCTGGTCATCTCCTGTACTATGTTCGCAGTCTCTAGTCATCTCCTGTACTATGTCCGCAGTCTCTGGTCATCTCTTGTACTGTGTACGCAGTCTCTGGTCATCTCCTGTACTGTGTACGCAGTCTCTGGTCATCTCCTGTACAATATCCGCAGTCTCTGGTCATCTCTTGTACTGTGTACGCAGTCTCTGGTCATCTCCTGTACTATATCCGCAGTCTCTGGTCATCTCCTGTACTATATCTGCAGTCTCTGGTCATCTCCTGTACTATGTTCGCAGTCTCTGGTCATCTCCTGTACTATGTTCGCAGTCTCTGGTCATCTCCTGTACTATGTCCGCAGTCTCTGGTCATCTCCTGTACTTTGTCCGCAGTCTCTGGTCATCTCCTGTACTATGTTCGCAGTCTCTGGTCATCTCCTGTACTATGTTCGCAGTCTCTGGTCATCTCCTGTACTATGTCCGCAGTCTCTGGTCATCTCCTGTACTTTGTCCGCAGTCTCTGGTCATCTCCTGTACTGTGTCCGCAGTCTCTGGTCATTTCCTGTACTGTGTCCGCAGTCTCTGGTCATTTCCTGTACTATGTCTGCAGTCTCTGGTCATCTCCTGTACTATGTTCGCAGTCTCTGGTCATCTCCTGTACTATGTTCGCAGTCTCTGGTCATCTCCTGTACTATGTCCGCAGTCTCCGGTCATCTCCTGTACCGTGTCTGCAGTCTCTGGTCATTTCCTGTACCGTGTCTGCAGTCTCCGGTCATCTCCTGTACTATGTCCGCAGTCTCTGGTCATCTCCTGTACTATGTCCGCAGTCTCTGGTCATCTCCTGTACTATGTCCGCAGTCTCCGGTCATCTCCTTTACTGTGTCCGCAGTCTCTGGTCATCTCCTTTACTGTGTCCGCAGTCTCTGGTCATCTCCTGTACTATGTCCGCAGTGTTTGGTCATCTCCTGTACTGTGTCCGCAGTCTCTGGTCATCTCCTGTAATATGTCCGCAGTCTCTGGTCATCTCCTGTACTATGTCCGCAGTGGTTGGTCATCTCCTGTACTGTGTCCGCAGTCTCTGGTCATCTCCTTTACTGTGTCCGCAGTCTCTGGTCATCTCCTGTACTGTGTCCGCAGTCTCTGGTCATCTCCTGTACTGTGTCCGCAGTCTCTGGTCATCTCCTGTACTGTGTCCGCAGTCTCTGGTCATCTCCTGTACTATGTCCGCAGTGTTTGGTCATCTCCTGTACTGTGTCCGCAGTCTCTGGTCATTTCCTGTACTGTGTCCGCAGTCTCTGGTCATTTCCTGTACTATGTCCGCAGTCTCTGGTCATCTCCTGTACTATGTCCGCAGTCTCTGGTCATCTCCTGTACTATGTCCGCAGTCTCCGGTCATCTCCTGTACTGTGTCCGCAGTCTCTGGTCATCTCCTGTACTATGTCCGCAGTGTTTGGTCATCTCCTGTACTATGTCCGCAGTCTCTGGTCATCTCCTGTACTGTGTCTGCAGTCTCTGGTCATCTCCTGTACTATGTCCGCAGTGTTTGGTCATGAATAATTTTTTTCTTGTTTTCTTCCTCTAAAATCTAAGTGCGTCTTATGGTCAGATGTATGATCGGCTTAAAGAGACACTTTGCCTATTCCGAGGTCAGGAGTTGAGGCTGAATTGGTGAGTATACCTTGCGGGTGGATACTCTCATTTTGCACAATGTCACTTTAACTTATAAACTGTCAATACAAATACAATAAAATTGATCTAAACTCTTCTTGCTACCCTTTAAATTGAATTCTGTATCAATGATCCATCAAAGCTCTCTTGTTTGGTCCTTTCTATGGGTAATTCAATAGCACTCCCCATCTATGTAGCAATTACACAGTAGAAGGACCCATACTTACTCTTCCATTTGATTTTTGTCTTTCGATTTTGTTTCCGTGACTTTTTCTTGTCGTTTCTTGTCCATCTTCTTTTTTTTTAATTCTTTCTTTTCCCTGAAAGGTGAAGATGGTGGAGAAAGATGAAGAGAGACAAAACATTAGAAAATGTTTTGATCCCACCAATCATGAGATGGATTATTAAGCCCGCCTCTTACTTTTCACACGTTTCCTTCAGTTTTTTCAGCTGGTTGTTCTGGCATTCCTCCGCCACATCGGTGAGTTTCTGGATGAGCTGGAATACAGACACGGGATGTAGGTGATTGGATATGGTAAGGAAAACAACAAGAAATCTCCAATAAAGGGATTTTTAAGTCAGTCAGCATACAGCAGTGCTCAAAATTTGGATCCCCTGGCAGAATTCGTCAAATATTGGCTTTCATATTGAAAATATGACGGATTATGCCAAAAACTGTCTTTTATTTAAGAATAGTAATCATATGAAGCCATTTATTCAGAGGCGTCCCTAGGGTTGGTGTCACTCGGTGCGGTAACACGTGGTGTCACCCCTCCAGAGAGGAAGGAGTGATGCCGGTGTAGCGGGAAAATGAGTATCCCACCTGTGAATATATGTATCCCCTGAAGCAACTGCGCATGTGACGGTTTCAGGCTGAAGAAGCCGATCTCCGACTTTAGCCCAGAGCTTCTTCGGCCCGAAATCGGCACATGCGCAGCTGCTTCAGGGGATACATATATTCACTGGTGGGGATACTCATTTTACCGCTACACCGTGGGCAGGTGTCACTGTCCCGGGATACCAGGATCACCCCAATAACTGGCCAGGACCTCACAAAGCCCAGACGCTCTGCTGGCATCCTGCTCCTGCACCCCCTGTGATGGTGTCACCCGGTGCACCCCAGGCACCCCCCTAGGGATGCCACTGCATTTATTATCTTTCTATTATCTTCTATCTATTATCGGCTTTCTTTACAACATGCCTTTTCGTGGAGCGGGTCCAGTGTCACCCCGTATAGGTTGCATGCCGACGATCCCCGCAGGATGGATGGGATCTGCTGATTGGGGAGCATAATGGATCAGACTACGATCCATTATGCTCAATCCGCAGATCTGAACCATCCTGCGGGGATCGTCGGCTTTCTTTACAACTTACCTTTTTGCGGAGCTGGTCCGGTGTCACCCCGTATAGGTTGCATGCCGACGATCCCCGCAGGATGGATGGGATCTGCTGATTGGGGAGCATAATGAATCGGACTCCAATCCATTATGTTCAATCCACAGATCCAAACCATCCTGCGGGGATCGTCGGCTTGCAACCTATACGGGGTGACACTGGACCAGCTCCGCAAAAAGGTAAGTTGTAAAGAAAGCCAATGATCCCCATAGGATGGATCGGATCTACGGATTGAGCATAATAGATCGGAGTCCGATCCATTATGCTCAATCCAAAGAGCCGATCCATCCTGCGAGGATCGTCGGCAGGGGTGTCACCAAGTGTTACCGCACCGGGTGACACCAACCCTAGGGAGGCCTCTGATTAAAGCCATTGGTTCAGCATAACAGCCAGGCAATTGGCACGTTCAGGACAGCCCAACAAAGGCAGCCTACGTCTATCTTTCAAGTTTGGCAGATCTCACAGAAATACCTTCCCGTTGTTTCCTCTGATTACTGAGCTGATTATTCTAGTGATAGAGAAGTCCAATCTAAAAAAAAGATGCACGTATCGCGCAAACAGAAAATTCTCTAACTGTGCCTAGAATTATAACAAGGTGATAAAAAGCCTACAGCTGAAAAGCATGCAAACCATAATTATGGATTGTTATTTGTTGGAGAAAAATCTTTCCAGTTCTGAACAATGAACAATTCATCAATGAAATACCTATTAAAAGAACAGTTGGCTCATTCATGTGTAAAGCAGATTTAAGTCTGAACAAATATTAATTTAAATGGAGCCCAGGGGGATACTTTAATTGTACCTTACTCTGAGTACAATGCAGAATTGCAGAGGATAATTAAACCATCCAAGAATGTAAATTGGCTTAAATACTTAAATGAATTGCTTAATGTGTGGAGTAGTTTTAGGGTAAAAATGTACGGGCTCTCAGTAATCGGTGGGTGGAGTCGATTGGGTTGGCATGTTTGGTCCCCAAGCAACTCAAAAGGCAAATCTATGGGTGGCCACTGATAGAACAGACTACAAGACAATAACAGCCCCATGCTGACCACCTGTCGGATGTCCTCATTGAATGCATAGATTCTTCAGCATGTTGCCGATCATTGTTCTCCACAGAACAAGGAACTAGGCTTTTACTGTGCATTTGCTGTGTCTTAACAATGGCAGAGTCAGAAGGAGGATGTCCCGATGACAAGAGATTTATACAAGGAAGTGCAGATCTCTCAAATATGGCTTTCTATAGTTAGTCTTGCTTTGGTCAACCCAACGGCCTCGATTAACTGGTGAGGGGTCAGGAAGAAGCTTGGATGGCACACAGACCAACCCTGATAGTGACCCTGACCTTCACAACTGTGTTGCTAATACATTTTAAATGTGTTACTGCTAGGCTGTATCCAATCTTAGCTTTTTTTCTGGGTTTCTAGGTCCCTAAACTCAGGGGATTAATTGCTTTGACCTGTTAATTGGAGGAGACTCCAGTAATCATTTTGGGAAGAGTAATCTCTGGGTTATGAATGTTTAGCTGACCCAGCCAAACCTTTGGGAGCTACATTCCGGTGTGTGGTCTGGATTGATGATGAATGCAGAAGATCCCTCCCAGGGAAAAGCTCCAATGGCGATTGAGTCTCGGAAAGCTGCTCTTAGACTTTTCCAAAACTCCAAGAATGTGCAGATCTTTCATATATTGCTTTCTATAGTTAGCCTTGCTTTGGACAGCCCAACTGTCTTGTCTTACTGCTGAGAGGTCAGGAAGAAGTTTAAGCAGCATGCAGAGTCCAAAAAGTATAGCTACTCTTCCCTTCACAACTGTGTCTCTAATAAATTTAGAATGTGCTACTGCTAGGCTATATCCAACCTGAGCTTTTTTTCTGGGTTCTTCAGGTTCTTCCCTAAGCTCATGGGATTTATTACTTTAACCGGTTACTGGGAGGAGGCTCCAGTAATCACTTTGGGAAGGTTAAAGGGGAATTCTAGTCAAAACTTCACTAATGCTATACCTACTCCCTTCCCCATTCTAAACCTAACCTAACCCTGCAAAGAAAATATCCAGCAGCTTCTGTGTGCAGGAGAGAAAGCCAACAATGGCTACAAATGCCTGGGAGATGATGTCACCCATAGACTTACTTTTGTCTGGTGCCCCTCCTCTACACTGAAACCACCACTGAAGCTGATCCTAGGGCTGGACTGGCTTCAGAATAGGTACTGTAATTATGCAGATCTTATCTTTGCACGGTTAGATAGAATAGGTTTAGAATGGGGGTGGGAGTAGGTTTTGCCTTGGCGAGGTTTTGAATGGGGTTCCACTTTAATTTCTCTGTTATGAATGTTTATTTGACCCAGCAAACCATCTGTGTCCCTATTGGGGAGATTTCCTTACATGTTCTGCCAGGATGTAATATGTTTCAATGGAGACACAAAACAAAAAACTCATTTTTAATCTCAGTGTTCTTAGGAGTAGTCCTTAGTTATAAGACAGGACTCTTTGGTATCCTACTCCTAGTTACAAAAGCTGTCATTCCCCACCTCTGGAAATTAACTTAAGTCCTTCTGTAACCGAGTGGGTAGGATCGACATGCCATATCATGAGTTTGGAGAATCCGACCGCACCGCACGGCTACATGAACGTTTTGAGCTTTTCTTCCAGATGGTGGAGTCTGTGGACGCTGTATAAATTTTAAACCAACTCACAAACAGGTCCCTATCTTAAAAAAATGTCGTACTTACACTCAGGATGAACTTCCCCATTACTTTTTTATCCCAGCTGCACACCCAACTCCTTATATCTTTGTCTATTTTTTTTCTCCTCTCATTCCTGTATATCTTGCAATTTATATTTCTTTTTCGCTGTCCCAGACACCCTGGGTGATCTTTCAATTAGACCACCAGCTGGCCATCAAACGTATGACTTACATCCAACATGGACTTGAGCATTCATAAGGACATTTCCTGTCACTGACTACCTCTGTGGACCTGTTATGCAAAATATACACATATATAATTATATATATATATATATATATATATATATATATATATAGTGGGGAACTAGCATCAAGGGTAGAGCTTTAAAAACACACAGCCACTCGCTTTCTTCTTTTTAAGGGCTGTTTTTGCCCAATGTTATTTAAAAGAAAGTTCCATATAACACGTTTCCCACTCAGGGGCATCCTCTATTAATACAAATGAAAATATTCAGCC